AACCTTGCAGTTCAGTGCATTAACCCACCACTCTACATCTTTTCATATGCTTGTTGGCTGCTTGGGTGTCCTCTTTGGTGAATGTTCTATTCATGTATTTTGCCCATTTTGTGATTGCACAGTTTGTCTTTATTGTTGAGTTGTTGCTGTTTTCTATAGATTTTAGAGATTAGACTCTTATCATAAATCATTTCTGAAGATCTTTTCCCAGTCTTTGGGTTCTCTATTTCCTCTTTTTATAAAGTCTTTTGATGAGCATGAGTGTCTAATTTTTATGAGGTCCCATTTTCCTATTTTGTTTTCTTCTAGTCATGCATTTGGAGTCCTGGTGTGGTGCTGTGGGTTAATGCGCCAGACTGCAAAGCTGTTTGAACTGTAAGGTCGGCAGTTCAAGCTCACCAGCTTCTCCTCGGAAACCCTATACAGGGTTGCTATGGGTCAGAATTGACTCGACAGCACTTAACAACAACAACAAGTTGTGCATTTGTTGTAATGTTTGTTTTCCCATTTTAACCTAAAGGATTAGGTTCCATAGTTTTCTTCCTATGTTATCTTCCAGGAATTTTATGGCTTTAGGTTTAATGTTTAGTCTCTAATCCATTTCAGGTAGTTTTTGTGTATGGTGTGAGGTTTGGATCCTGACTCATTTTTCTGCAAGTGGATTTCCAGTTATGCCAGCATGAGACTGTTTTGTCCCCTAATGAAAGGGGCTTTGACACTTTGTGGAAAATCAGTTGTCCATAGATGGGTGGATTTAATTCTGAGTCCTTGATTCTTTTCCACTGGTCTGTGTGTCTATCGGACTTCTGGTGTGGTGCTGTGGGTTAATGCACCAGACTGCAAAGTCAGTTTGATCCACAAGGTTGGTGGTTCAAGCTCACCAATCACTCCTTGGAAACCCTATAAAGTGTTGCTGTGGGTCGGAACCGACTCGATGGCACTTAACAACAGCAACAATGTGTCTATCATTAAAGTTGGTCATTAGTTTTTCCACTTCATACATTGCTAGTATCTGTATTGGAATTGCATTGAATCTGTAGATCATTCTAGGTAGACATGACATCTTTGCTACGTTGTCTTCCAATCCATGAACATGGTATGTCTTTTAATTTCTGTAGGTCTCTTTAAGTCTCTTGTAGTATTGTTTTGTTGCCCATAGCATGTCATGATCCACACACAATTAAAAGCCTTTGCATAGTCAATAAAGCACAGGTAAACATCTTTTTGATATTCTCTGCTTTCAGCCAAGGTCCATCAGACATCAGCAATGATATCCCTTGTTCCACATCCTCTTCTGAATCCAGCTTGAACCTCTGGAAGTTCTCTGTCAATGTATGCTTGCAGCCATTTCTGCATTACCTTTAGTAAAACTGTACTCGGATGGAATATCAAAGATATTGTCTGATGATTTCTGCATTCTTTGAGTCACCTCTCTTTGGAATGGGCATAAATACAGATCTCATCCAATCAGTTGGCCAGATATTTGTCTTCCAAATTTCTTGGCAGAGTTAAGTGAGTGCCTCAAGTGCCACTTCCACTTTCTTGAAAGATTTCAATTTCTATTCCATCAATTCCTGGTGCCTTGTTCTTTGCCAATTCCTTCAATGCACCTTGGACTTCCTCCTTCTAGTATCATTGGCTCTTGATCATATGCTACCTCTTGAAATGGTTGAACATCAATCATTTCCTTTTGGTACAGTGACTCTGTGTATTCTTTCTATCTTCTTTTGATGCTTTCTGCATCATTCAATAGTTTGCCCAGAGAATCCTTCAATAATGAAAGTCAAGGCTTGAATTTTTTTCTTTAGGAAGTTTGAGTATCCCAGAACACTTAATTGTGCTCATGAAGAATCTGTACATGGACCAAGAGGCAGTTGTTCAAACAGAAAAAAGAAGTCCAAGGAATGGTTTCAAATTAAGAAACATGTACAACAGGGTTATATTCTTTCACTATACTTATTCAACCTGTATGTTGAACAAATAATCTGAGAAGGTGGGCTATATGAAGAAAAATGTGGCATCAGGATTGGAAGAAGACTCATTAACAACCTGAAATATGCAGATGATACAGCCTTGCTTGCTGAAAGTGAAGAAGACTTAAAATATTTACTGATGAAGCTCGAAGAGCACAGCGTTTGGTACGGATTGAATCTCAATGTAAAGAAAACAAATGGACCGCTGGACCAATAAACATCATTCTTATCAATGGAGAAAAGATTGAAGTTGTTAAGGAGTTCGTTCTTCTTGGATCAACCATGAACATTCATGGAAGCAGCAGCCAATAAATCAAACGACGTATTGCATTAGGCAAATCTGCTGCACAAGACCTTTTTAAAGTGTTAAAGAGCAAAGATGTCAGCTTGAGGACTAGGGTGCTCCTGACCCAAGCCATGGTATTTTCAATAACCTCATCTGCATGCAAAAGCTGGGCAGTGAATCAGGAAGACCTTAGAAGAATTCATGCATTTGAGTTATGGTGTTGGAGGAGACTATTGAAAGTGCCATGGACTGCCAAAAGAACCAATAGATCCATTTTGGAAGAAATGCAGATAGAGTGCTCCTTGGAGGCCAGGATGGCTGAACTTCATGTCTCATGCTTCAGACATATGTCAGGAGGGACCAGTCACAAGAAGCATATCATGTTTGGTTAAGGTGGAGGGTCAGAGAAAAAGGAAGACCCCCCAACAAGATGGATTGGCAAAGTGGCAGAAAGCCTGGCAACAATTGTGAGGTTGGCTCAGGACCGGGCAGTGTTTCGTTCTGTTGTGCATAGGGTCACTATGAGTCGGTACGGATTCAATGACACCTAACAACAACAGTAGTATTTTATCATTTTCATTGTATAAGTCTTTTATGTCCCTGGCTAGGTTAATTCCTAGGTATTTTATCAAGTAAGAGGCTTTCCCTTCTTTCAAAGACCTTTAGGTTTCAACTTTATAGAGTCTATTCAAAGCTTTCAACAACTGCCCAACGCAAAAATATTTTATTTCCCATAACATATGTACTGAGGTTTTTACTCAGTGTCCTGGAGTGTGATAAATACTAACATAGTGTTTTGCTTTCATTTGTGTGAAAAGCCCGGGATTTTCCATCTCGAATCTGCTTCGAGTGATCCTCCTGGAATTTGAGTGAGAAGCCCTTTTGGGGAGCAAATGCCACAGCTGAGCCCCCCTCCTGGTTGCAGCTGCTGCTTGTCCAGCTTGTATCAGTCAAAGCCACAGGTGGAGCCGGGAGTGCCCCTTTAGAGGGTCTGGGCAGACTAGTGAGACTGAGGATAAGGGGCTTCACAGGGGAGGGGGCATACAGAGCTGAATCAATAAACGCACTTTCTTGAAAAGAACTTTGCACCTGCCTTTTGTATGTGCCCACCCACCTTGGCCTTCAGGAAACAAGGAGCTGTTTTAGAATCTTCTGGAAAGCTCATCTTGCAGGATCTCCCCAGAATCCTTGACACAGCAGGAATATTCAGCGCTCTCAGTTACAGAAAAAAATCCCTGGGAGATTGCTCCAGGCCTTTGCCCCTCCCCACCCCATTCACCAAGATATTCATCATCATGGGGTGATGAGAGAAGAGTCTGAATTTAGGCTTCTTGACTCCTTCCTGCCCAACCTTGACCTCTGGAGGGCCCCCCAGCTCAATCCCCAATTGCAGTTCTCTGAGAGGCAAATCCCTCCGCACTCCCAGTGCTTAAACCTCTAGAACCAGCCTCAGTTTTCAGGACTTCAACTTCCAGGGCACCTGGGTCAGGATTGCGCCAGGAGAGGTGAGGGGAGAGGAGAGAGGTATTTACAAGCCATTTAGCTTCTCTGAGTCCCTATTTCCGTATCTGAATTAAGTAGCATGAGAATCTGGACTTTGCAGCGCCCCAGTGAGGTTGAATTAAGATATTGGGGTGCCTGCCCCAGACGGAAATCCTGGTCAACCCGGAGCTGAGCTCAGGGACAATGGAGGGCGTGCTCATAAACTGAGGTTGATTCCTGAGCCTGTTGTGGCCAGCCAGGCTCCACGGTCAGGATTAGAAGTGGGTGTGGGCAGAGGGAAGACTGGGAGAAGGTGGGGGCTAGTACCCACACCCAGTCCTTGCCAACCTACTGAGCAGAAGGCTGGGACCGGCGTATGCTCCCCGATCTGCAGCTTTTCAAGCCCCAGGGAAGCCAAGGGACTGTGGGGCAAGGACTCCAGCTTCCCTTCAGCGGGGTGGACCGGCGTATGCTCCCCGATGTGCAGCCTTTCAAGCCCCAGGGAAGCCAAGGGACAGTGGGGCAAGGACTCCAGCTTCCCTTCAGCAGGGGGCTCCTGCCCGAGGGGCTGCAGAGGAGCTCTGAGCTCCGAGGAAGCCCCCAGTAGGCTAGAGCAGGCGGTGGAGGGAGGCGGGACAAGGCTGGAGGACAGCTGGGTAGAAGGCGCAGGGACCACAGTGGGGCTCAGGGACTGTGATGGCAGAGATGTGTGGAGGCCTGGGGAAACATAGAGTGGTAGAGTCGGGGAGGCTGGGGTCCCTAAGAGAAAGTCAGGTGGCCCTGGACGACACTCGGGGGCAGAAAGGGAGGTGCTTTCTAAGTGGCACAGGCGCTGGTGCATGCAGCAAGTCTGACTCCACAACAACAGCTCCGTCTGTAGGATCTGGATGTCCTTCCGCAGGGCGTGGTTTTCCTTCTCCAGTGACTCCAGCTGCTGGAGGGGAGAAGCAGGTCGTCAGCCGCAGGGTCTGGCTGGAGTCCCCACCCACCTGGATGTCAAAGCTGGGCCCTCCGGCCTCTCCCTCCACGACCACGTGGGATCTCACCGTTCTACCTCCAACCCACTGCCTTGGAGTCAATTCAGACTCCGCAACCCCACAGGACGGCGTCCAACTGCCCCATAGAGTTTCCAAGACTGTCATTTTTATGGCGGCACACTGCCACACCTTGCTCTCGCATCTCCTTTTTGACATTTCAATTAGCAACAGAGTGTTTAACCACTGCGCCACCAGGACTCCTTTCCCTAAGTGACCCACCCCTAAGCCACCCCCAGTCACTTCACAGCACCAGAGAAGCTTCCTAAAGCGCCCAGGGAGTGCCTTTAACCAAAGGGCCAATCTTCTTAACAAGTGATTCCAGGCCTGCTCAGGCAGACCCAGCTCCCACACCTCATTGCCCCGCCCCTTCCAGTTCCTCCAGAGGACTTCACTTCCTGGACACGTTTCCTGTGTCCTCTGCTTGAGCGCCACCCCTCGTCCTCCCCAGCCCTCACCCCATAATGTGGTTTTCATGTGCAATTTATTCGTCACTCTGTCCTGAAGAGCTCTGGGCTGCTGGTGCTCCCCACGGCCCAGAATGCTCCATCAAAGCACTTGGGGCGGAGAAGGTGCTGGCTTCCAGAGTGAGTGACAGGCTGACATTAGCTTTTATTAGATTCTTTTCTACCAGACACTGGGTTCTGAGGATCCACGAGGAAAATAACCAGTGTGCAGATCTAAATGACCATTTATGGTGACAAATGGTGAAAATGGCCCCAGAATGTGACTTCTATGTCTCTTGGTGGTACCTTGTCTGCACAGAAGAAAAAGGGAAACCCCAAGGGTCCAGCTCCCATTCAAGCCATTCAAGTTCAAGCAGAAAGTGTAGACACTGAGGCCCAGAGAGGCCTATGTGGAGCCTAAAGTCACACAGCTCATGAGATCCTCTACCTCCTCCAATCAGTTTTCTGTAGTCTCCACAAGGCTTCTGGCTGTAGACAGGGATTATTGCCCCCACTTTACAGATGACCAGAGTGAGACTTAGTGAGGTCAGTGATTTAGAGTTAAGGAGTTCACAGCTGGATCTACCCAGTCATACGTCTGAAGTGCAGTTTCTCATAGCGTGGTCTTGACCACGCACATCAGAATTCTAATGGTGACTAATCATCATTCAGATCCAGGAGCCCATTTGGGCCACATGGGGTGGGATTTCTGGGCAGGGGGCACCTGGGAATATGCATTTTAACAAGTCAGTTGAAGTGTTCTTCAAGGTGCTGGATTCTCTCTATTGGCCTCCCCTTCTGGTTTTCTCTCCTACTAGATTGGAGGCACCTTGAAGGCAAGGCTCCATTGCCCAGCATGTACCTGCCATATGGTTTGTACTTAACACCTAGTTATTTCCAAATCCCAGTCATTGGGCCCTTCCCTCCTCCCAAACTCAGGTGGTCTGAGAAAATGCAGTAGTTCAGAGGATATCTGCCACAGGTAGGATGGAGAAGAAAGAAGTGGTCTCCAGGTCAGTGGGGTCAGGCAGGGAGAGAGGGCACCCTCACCTGGTGCAGGATATCCGCCTTGTCCGTGTGTTTCTGCCGGCTGCGCTGGGCAGCCTCCCGGTTCTTCTGTTTCCTCTCCAGCTGCCTCTCACACTCCTTAGGATCCTGCAAGGCATTAGGCAGAGGGCTCAAGGGCCTGCTGCTTCTAAAGCCCCATCCTTCCCCTAATTCAGAATCCCCATGTTGTCACCCCTTCTCCCAGAAGCCCTCGCTGCTCCCTCTGCACCCACACCCCCCATTGCAGGCACAGCCACTTTATGGTAACGCTGGTACCATCAGATATCTCGCTCACAGCTCACGTGGGGACAATGACAAATGAGGAAGTGGGTTTAATGGAATACCTGGGCCTGGGATTCTAACCCAATCCCATGTTGTCTCTTATAAGTCATTTGGCTCTGGGCAAGTTCCTCATTGCCCTGAGCCCCATCCACCTGTGCAATAAAGCCAGGGACTGTAGTGCCTTCATCACAGAGGGAACAGCACCCACAGAGCTCACGGCCTGCTTCAGAAATATCAGTCACCATTGATTGTCAGTTGCTGCCATCGATTGCTATGATTTCAAATCAACTGTTGATTTATTCAACCGTGATCTCCATGAGGACAGCCCTGGCATCTGATTCCATATCCTTATTCCCAAACAGACCCAAAGCTGGTATTCACTCATTCAACAAATATTTTTTGAGAACCTACTATGTGCCAAACACTGAGCTAGTGACCAAAACTTCCTGCCCTCAAGTCACCAACATTCTAGATGGCCATCAACACAAAATGAATGAATGAATGAAGAGTCCATTCTGATAGAAAGAGAGAACTTGTATAGGTCGACAGATATGACCCCCTCTACTCAGGGTTTCATAAAACTTAGACACAACATTTAACCCAAGTGTCCAGTGTTCTGGAAAGTCAAGTCAAGAGAGAGCACTGACCACTGCACAGGTCATGCTGAGTGTAAGAACCTCAGGCAAGATCCTGTCACCCCAATGAAGGACTCTGTAGGTCACTCATGGCTACAGCAGGTGCATTCTAGACAGAGCAGCAGGTGGGAGCAAGAGTTGAAACCTAGGGGAAAAGGCCCCATGAGAAGGGAGTGGGCCTTAGGCATCTGGGTCTTGAAAGAATGGTCTGCTAAAGAAATTTGGATTGGGGTGCGGGGGCCAGGAAAGAAAATTCTAAAGACAGTAAGGGTAGAGCAGCTAGGTGGTTACGTGCCGTGGAGTCGGTTCCGACTCACAGTGACCCTGTACAGGGTTTCCGAGGCTGTAAATCTTTACAGGCTCAGAAAGCCTCATCTTTCTCCCATGGAACAGCTGGTAAGTTTGAACTGCTGACCTAAAGGTTCGCAGACCGATTCCTAACCACTACGCTAACAGAGCTCCTTAGAGCAGGTAGACAAGGAGCAAACAATATACAGATGCCACATTCTAACCTGGAGGCTGGATCTGGAAACCAGAGCAGGAAGCCTTCTTTCCAAGAAGACGCTGAGACCCAAAGAGGTCTATGTGGAGCCCAAGGGTCACACAGCCCATGGGTGCAAAGCTGGGGCTAGGTGCTCCCAGCTGCATCCCTCACTGCCTGAGCACTGGGGACCCTCAGGCACAACCCCCTGTCACCCCACCCTGATTCCCTGCACTCACCATCTTGGCCAGCAGCCCATTGCCCTCACAGAGGAGCATAGCTTCTTAGGGATAGCAGAGGTTTTCTCCAGGTCTCGGGTGTCCTTTAGCAGCACTGTGACCTCCCTGTGCCCTCTGGGGCCCTGAGGAAGTGGTGGCTTTTTAAACCTCCAGTGGCCACTCCGCCCCCTGTCAGACAAGTTTCAGTTTCTCCTAAAGCCACCAACTGCTCAGAATCCCTGGCTCAGAACTGCTCACGTGGCTGAAATTTCCTAACATGAACCAGCCTTCCGGTTCGGCCCTTATCCCCCAGGAGGACGGTGGAGGGTGGCCAGAGGGGTTACATGCTCTGGGAGAAGGGAGGACAGGTTGCCAAGAGCTGAGAACAAGGGCTGATGTGAGACTAGCACTGGGATCCAGGATAGCCCAGGTTTCCTGCCCACCTTGGCACACTGGAACTGTGTAGCTTTGAATAAGTGACTTGCCCTCTCTGAGCCTTAGTTTCCTTATCTATAAAAGGAGTAGGAATGATACAAATACCCACTCACAGGCTCCATGTGGGAACTAAACAAGCTAATCCAAGCATGCCCCAATCCTTTGTGAGACCATGTGTGAGGCATGTTTGTAAACGAACAATGACCTCAAAAGTTTTGTTGTCCCCTTAATGATGGTATCTTCATACAAGAAACCCTGCAGCAATAGAAAAACTGTCCCCAGACACATAATTTCTCTTTTTGTGCCTCAATTTCCTCATCTGTAAAGTGGGGATAAAACTGACTTTGTTGTGAAGATTAAATGAGTTGAAGCAGGTAAACCACCTAAAACTATGCTTGGGACAAAATAAGAGCTGAAAAAAAAAAAAGATTTGCAATTGCTTCTGTTAAGGGTGATGGGCAGATTTGGGAACAGTTAATGGTGATGGGTGGCAGTATGCTGAACATAATGAATATCACTAAATTGTGATGTTACATAATTCATATCACATAATTAATATCACTAAAGGAGCTCTTTTAAGGAGCATTTGCTCTTCACATGTACAATTTGGTGGTGGTGGCAGTTGTGTGCCGTGGAGTCGATTCTGACTCATAGCCACCCTGTATAGGATTCCCGAAGCTGTGAATCTTTATGGAAGCAGAAAGCCTCATCTTTCTCCCATGGAGCAGCTGGCAGATTTGAACTGCTGGCCTTGTGGTTAGCAGCTCAGCTCTTAATCCACTATGCTGCCAGAGCTCCTTTGTTGTTGTTGTTGTTGTTAAGTGCCATTGAGTCAGTTCCGACTCATAGTGACTCTGTATAGGGTTTCCGAGGAGCAGCTGGTGAGTTTGAACCACTGACCTTGCAGTTCCAACAGGCCTTAAGGTCGAGTGCATTGTCCTACGTGCCACACCAGGACTGTCACCTAGATACCACCATTAAAAAATAATAATTTTGCATTTACAATCTGGTGGATGGTGGAAGGATCAAAGCTGTACTTATTTTCATGCCTAAAAGTTTGAAATGTCCTGTCGTAAGAAAATAGCAAACTGCAGCCAGCTCGGAACAATAGGATAGAATTCCTATAAAGTTAATAACCTGAATACGTAAATATGCAATGCAAGTATAAACATATGCCTGGGAATGAGAAACACCAAATTTGGAGAATGGTGGCCTGGGAAGGGGGTAGTCAAAGGCAGCACTCAGGGGACTTGAGGTGTGTCTGTGTTTTATTGCTTACACTGTAATAATATTATTAACTACACTTTGGGCTAGACCTGAAATGTCTCATAATAAAAACTTCTATGAAAGGCCTCACAAACCCTGTTGCTTCATGGTGACTGACTTCAGATACAACAGAAGGAAACATTGTTCGATTCTACACCATCTTCGTGATGGTTCATATGCTCGAGTTCATTGTTTTGGCCCCTGGCTACTTTGGGTATCTTCCCATTTTAGAGGTTCATCTTTCAGCATTCCTTTGGACCTTGTTCTGTTGCGATCCATAATCAAGTCGTCCTCCACTATTCATGGGGGATTGGTTCCAGGACCCTCATGGATACCAAAGTCTATGGATTTTATAAAATGGCATGTTATTGTTGTTATGTGCCGTGGAGTCGGTTCCGACTCATAGCGACCCTGTACGGGGTTTCCAAGGCTGTAAATCTTTACAGGAGGAGAACGCCTCATCTTTCTCCCACAGAACAGATGGTAGTTTCAAACAGCTGACCTTGCCGTTCGCAGCTCGATTCGTAACCACTACACTACCAGAGCTCCTTATAAAATGTCATAGTACTTACATATAAACTATGTTGTTGTTGTTGTCATGTGCCATCGAGTCGGAACCGACTCATAGCGACCCCATGCACAGCAGAACGAAACAATGTTCGATCCTGGGCCCACCTCACTACCGCTGCCACACTTGAGTCCATCAATGATGCCACCTGGCTGATCCATCTCGTTGGGGGTCTTCCTCTTTTTCTCTGACCCTCCACCTTACCCAGCATGACATCCTTCTCCAGTGATTGTTTCCTCGGGACAATATGTCCAAAGTAGGAGAGACGAAGCTTAGCTATCCTGGCCTCCAAGGAGCACTCTGGCTGCACTTCTTCCAAAACAGATCTATTGGTTCTTTTGGCAGTCCATGGCACTTTCAGTATTCTCCTCCAACACCACAACTCAAAGGCATCAATTCTTCTACGATCTGATCCTCCTTATTCACTGTCCAGCTTTCGCATCCATATGAGGCTATTGAAAACACAATGGCTTGGGTCAGGCGCATCCTAGTCCTCAAGCTGACATCTCTGCTCTTCAACACTTTAAAAAGTTCCTGTGCAGCAGATATAAACTATATATGTATATATATATAAACTATATATGTATATATATTTCCTCCTGTATACTTTAAATCATCTCTGACTTCTGGTGTGGGGCTGTAGGATCAGCACTGGATTACAAACCATAAGATTGGCCGTTGAAATCCACCAGCTGCTCCTCGGAAACCCTATACAGGGTTGCTTTGAGTCGGAACCGACTCGACAGCACTTAAGAAACAAGAAATCTATAAAGGAGTCCTAGTGTGGCACCATAGGATAAGCACTAGACCTTGAGGTTGGTTTGAACCGCAATGTCAGTGGTTCAAACTCACCAGCCATGCCTCGGAAACACTATACAGGTTTGCTATGAGTTGGAACTGACCCAACAGTACTTAACAAGTCTATGAAAGGAACCCTAGTAGAGTAGTGGGTTACACTTGGACTGCTTATCACAAGGTCAGCAGTTTGAATCTACCAGCTACTCAAAGGGAGAAAACTGAGGCTTTCTGCTCCCGTAAAGATTTATAGCCTTGGAAACCCTACGCAGGGTTACTATGAGTGGGAGCCGACTCCATGGCACACCACACCTAGTCTGCAAGGGACTGCTTTGACCACTTAATTGCTTTTTAGGAGCCATCTTTTTCACAGAACACAGTGAAGCGACGAGATTGAGGTGGACAGAGCACAAAACAAAGTGCTGGAGCGAGGCTGAGGATCTGTGAATGCGGAGTGGGGGAGTGCTATAGCAGGGCATGTCCACACATCACTTCATTGCAATGGAGTCAGTATAGTGCTGGGTGAGTAGCAAATTCAAGTTTTCCTTTTTGGAACTTTCTGGAAATTTTGTTCCCCAAATATGTTTGACCTGCAGTTGGTTGAATCCACAGATCCAGAACCTGAGGCTATGGAGGGCTGACTGTAGATTGCCAGTCCTGTCTTCCTAGTCTTAGTCCAGGAGCTCCAATAAACCCTGTCCACCATGGCTGACTCTGCTGGCATTTGAAATACTGGTAGCATAGCTTCCAGCATCACAGCAACACACAAGCCAGGACAACAGGACAAACTGACAGACCAGGGAAGTGGAGCAAACCTTAGGAAAATTTGCATAGTTGCTGGCTATCTGAGAGAGAGATCCTGTAGGAAAAGACATCTGTTTAGGGGATGAAGGAGATTGTAATCTCTGTCCAGGAACAATATGGCAGCTGACATGTAATGTATGGGGTCTCGTGATCTCATGATTGATGAGATGGGATCACAGGAATGGAAAATACTATGAATTTGATCCTCTGACAGATAATGGTGGCTGTATGTGTCTGTGTGAGAAAGGATCTGCTTCTGAGCTCTTTAGAAAAGAGTGCGGTAATTGGTTAGTAGTGTCTGCCATGCCATGATTGATTAATGATGTCTGTCATGAGCAGAGGCATGGAGCAGTGAAGTCCCCTACTATCCCTAGAACCCGCAGTGACAGAGTCGGGGCTTTAGAGTCAGAAGAATAGACTCTGAATGCTGGCATTCAACTCACCAGCTCAATCCTCCAGTCTCTCCCATATATATGAGGATGACACATAAGGGATACTTAGTTCACAGAGTTGTTTGAAAGACAGAAAAACGAGATGAGAAGAAAGCTCTTTGCTTACTGTAAGGTACCATTCAGCTGTGATCAGGGTATTAGTTTGTCTTAGTTCTCTAGTGCTGCTTTGATAAAAATGCCACAAGTAAGTGGCTTTAACATTCAAATGAGTTTCTTACAGTTTAGGAAGCTAGAAACCTAAATTCAGGGCACTGGTGCTTCCGTTCCCCAGAAATCTTCAGGTGGAGTGGCATCTATCTTCCCCCATCTCTGCTTGTTCCTCTGTTCTAAGTCTGGCCTTTTTCAATCTCTAAAGTGATCAACTTAAAACACACCTTGCGCTGATACCATCTGAACATAACAGAGAAAACCCATTTCCAAATGGGAGTTAGGAGCTACAACACATACTTTTAGGGAACATAATTCAATTCATAGTACTGTTTATGTTGATGGAATCCATTCTCCCTCTGAGATTTATGGGGACATATTCTGAATTCTAGGATGAGCGTAGGCACGTAATTAAGAAGAATACCTGGCTGAGTGGGATGGAGCATGAAGGCTGGTCTTTATTATCTTTTGCTTCTGAGGAATCTAGGTGCTGAGGCTGAAATGGGACCCCCATGCAGTCAGACCACCCCTATTTCTCTAAACGCTTTTTGTTTCTCAGACGTCAACGGCAGGCACCTGTGGGGTTCATTAAG